GAAAAGCTGGCGCGGTCATGTACCGGAAACTAAATCCAGACAAGAAAAAGCAGTTGGCTGTTTCAGAACTATTAGAAAATGTTGGCCAAGTTGATGGTGAAGGTTTGTATCCAGATTCACTGAACGTGGATATGAGTTATTCTTTAAACGGGATGCAATGACACCTTAAATATATGAGAATACTTGTTTTTCTTAGTTTGCTTAAGGAAATACTGTTGCAGTAGGGGTCAGGGTTGGTTCATTAACACTTCCATAGGTGTACACGAGCATCTCTGCTCCACTGAGTGGCTTGAAGGGTGCCAAAGAGCCAGGCACTCGGATGGCACAGAAGCCTCAAGAACAGGCTTGTTCCGAGTCAGACTGTTGGTCTGTTACCGTCTGCTCCCTGTAGTCTCACGCCTCTAGAGGTCTTGCCTTGAGTTGTTAGCTGAGTTGCTGTAACTGGTGGTGCCCATGAGGAGCACACACGGAAGACGGAGACGGGGTGCTGATGGTGGTTACCTTTTTTTAAAAAAAACTGGGATCTCCACCCAAAACAATTTTACGACTTATTGAATGTCACATCGGAATTCAGTGGTGATCGCAGGGCTGAGGCATCTCCTGAAGTCCTTCAGGATAAAACACACTTAGTGGCCGAGGCAAGTCGTGATTCTCCTTGGCATGCGACACAGAAGCACGTGGACCAGTTCCGGTGTCTTCTGGTGGAAAGCAGCTGGGTGTGGGGTGGAAAAAGTGGGGCACGGGAAATGCTGAGCTGTTCCCCAACACATGGCTTTTGCAGTGGCATAAGGCTAGCTGGAGCAGGTGGATTGCTGTCCTGTCCCAAGTCATGGGAATCAGGTTTTCCCTAACAGAAAAATCCGTTGTCGTTTTGATGCGCACATTCGCCAGAAAGGAGGCATTAGTGTGTAAATGACATTCGTATTTGCTTTGCTTTACTTTGAGTTTATATCATTACAGAAAGCCAACATATCTAGTACTTCCAGTTTCAAACCCTCTCAGAATAACGCATAAACTCTAGGTTATTCTACAGTGGAATTGCACAGGGGTAAAATCAGTTGATCTGCAGTAAGCTTTCTCTGACACCTTTGTGAAGTGTGTCCAGTTTAGTTTATGCTTCACCGCTTGATTCGTAATTGGAAGACGCATTTCAGTTGATGTAGTGCGAGGAAAAGGCACCTGTTTGGCTTCTAGCACGTTACTGTAATAAGAAATTTAAAAGAAGATAATAGAAAGGACAAAGGCTGTTTTAGCATATCGAATTGTAACGGATTTCTCACTTTTAATTAACTCAAAAGGGCATCCACCTGTGATAAGCTTTTTGTAATCTTACCTTTTAATCGAAGGACCATTTAACCAATTAATCAGTACAGAGCTGTTGGATTTCGTTGGCAGTTCTGCTGTGGGTCCCCCCTGAAGCAGTGATTCCCAGCTTCTCCGGACAGGCAGGGGATGCTTTCCATCTTTTGAATGGCTTCCTCTCCTCTTTGCTACCCCTCTTGCTGACCAAACTTGTATTTTTGAGGACAGGTGGTGAGAAGCAGCCTGGCCCAGTTCCCAAGTCTGTTCAGAAGCAAAGAAGAATGCTGGAGCGGCTGGTGAGCAGTGAATGTAAGGCTGCCTTTCCTAGATTAAAATATAGAGGCTCTTAAAATTGCTGGCCTGTGGGAGAGACAGGCTCAGATTTTTAGCTAAAATTGCAGTCTTTAAAGTGTTGATCCTAAGGATGCCTACCTGAGTGTAGAGGTCATTGAATAACTTGGGACGGACTTCTGAGTAGGCCTGTTTAGGGCTGCTCCCAGGGTTACTTTTCTCTAAGATCCCTATTGCACAGGGACCCCCCGTTACCCAGGGAGAGATATCACAACTTAAGTCCAGAGATTTCTGAAATCTGGATAGGACCTGTGCAGCCTTAAGCGCCTCAAATGCTGTTTTGCTGGACGGCTATGGACACACGCCGATGGAGGTGGAGAAAACATGCTTGCCCCATTTCCCCCACCCCCCTGTGATGTGCTTGCTGGAATTCAGGATCAGTGGCCACTGGCAGCTTGTTCACCCTCATCCAGCCCAGTACTGACCCCAAGCACCAGTGCAGAACATCGGCTTCCACCGAATGAGGTGGAAAAGAAAGGTAGAGCTGGGTATCTCCCACTTATTAATGACACCACAGCCCAAACCTCATGATGACCTCTCCCAGTGGCTTCATATAAATTTTAATTGTTATGGGGGTTAAGGTAGAACTCCACAGCATCCTAGAGGTCAGTGGCCACAGGGCAGAGTAGGAATCCCCCAACACTACCTTCTGAGACCAACCCCCCCACCCCCCCGGATGGGACTCAAACCGCCATAACACATTGCCCCCCCTCCCCGCCCCAGTTCCAAGAGGAAGCCCAGTAGGAGACTGTGGCCGATAGTATCAAAGGCTGCTGAGACACCCAGCGGAACGAGCAGGGTCACATTCCCCACGTCTAGTTCTCGGTAGAGGTCATCAGCCAAGGCGACCAAAGCCGTCTCCGTTCCAAATCCTGACGTGAAGCCAGGCTGAAATGGGTCCAGGAAAGTCAGTCTCTCCCAAGAGTCCCTGGAGGTGAGAAGGGACCATCAGCTCTATCACCTTGCCCAAGAATGGAAGATTGGAGACTGGCCAGAAATTTCCCCAGATAGTAGGCCTTAGGGAGGGTTTTTTCAAAACAGGGTCTAATCACTGCCACCTTGAGCACAGGCAGCACAACCTCCACCCTCAAGGAAGCATTTACTACTCTCCTTACCCACTCAGCCAGCCCCCCTCTGGCAGCTGTTTATCAGCCAGGAAGGGCAAGGGTCGAGAGTACAGGTCGTAGGTCTCACCTGCCCAAGGATCTTGTCCACATCCCTGGAATCCACCAGCTGAAAAGTATCCATATAAATCAGACATGTGACCCAGAGTAGAACTTGGCGATTTTTGTCATGTGTGTGTTCTCAGGTTCCCACCTCTCTAAAGGCTGTCTTCAGGTGCACAGTTCTACTTGGCTTGGCATGTATGTGTGGGAGGGGGGGCTGAGCCTAATCCCCTGCTTTCTCTCTCCTGCTTTGTGAAAAAGTAATTAAGGCTGTTTCTGAAAATCAGAATGGAGCTGCACAGACATCACCTGCTGCTGGGGGGGACTTCTGAGTGGCGGGAGCTGCCCCCATAGGCACATTCCTCCATTAGCTACGCAGAAGTCAACAGTGACAGACTGGGTTCTTACCATATTTGATCTAGCCATGCTTTCACCACATGTTTAACCTTTGTATACCTTCTAGGGGCTCTTCATGTTCTTTTCTTAGTTCTTGAGTGGGTGGGACATCCACTACTGCTCGCGGAATTATTGGGCTCAGGACTTTGTTGTGCTCCCTTGAAGGGATCCCAAAGGAGCTGTGTTGTGTCAGGTTCTCTCTTCCAGGGTGGAGGGCATGTGTGTGTGTATGCGTGCAGGGGGGGGGGGTACTGGAGAGCATGGTTCCCCCCAAACCCAAAGCTGGCCCTCCCTGCAGCTAAGGTCTTCGTCATCATTCAGCACTCCCCTTTTACTCATAACTAAATAATACATAAAACAATAGCAGCCATTATTTGGGATGCGCCGATATCTCCCCACACCTAGTTCCTTGCCCTTGCTAACGTTCTGCCTGTTTGTCTTGACCACCTCCAGCAAAGAGTTACATTGCCTTGGATGGTTTTGTTGAAATAACCAAGAAGTACGCCAGAGGCATCATCCCAACCAAGCTCCTGGATCAAGATGAGGACGATGATGAGCTGGCCGGCAAGAGCCCAGAGGAGCTTCCGCTCCGGCTCAGGGTGAGTCTCGGCAGCTTCCTCTGGCCTGCTGCTCAGACAGTGCTGGTGCTCCCCCTCCACGCGGCCCTCAGGGGCAGGCTGTTCCGCTTAAAGCAAGCCAGACTGGCAGAGGGGCCTGTGGAATCGTGCCTGGTTAAACTGTGACCAATCCCATTGCCTATTAGTAGATCTCAACTTAATTGAAAGCGAGTACAGACACGAGAATCTAATCCGGTAGCCTAAGCTAAATGCTGTATGCTTTTTTGACAGTAAATAGTCAGATATCAAGTCTGAGTGTTTTTTTGTTTTTGTATTATGAAATATTCATAAGTATTCTAATATCCCATTTTCTATTCTTTCATACATACATAATGGAAAAAATACAGTAACCTAAACCAATCACAAGATAGAAAGCTCATGGATTACAAAACTGGGGTGTGTATTTACGAAGTCACCAAAGTGGAAAAGGGTCCTTTTAAAACAAAGATATAGACCTTGAACCAGACCAATATTTTCAAAAGTCGTGGAACATCCACTATGTGCCAAGATGAGCTCTCCACAATATGTCCACATAGGTGTGGCAGTCCTGGAGTAGTTCAATTTAAAGAGTTTAAGGATTGCCACACCTATGTGGACATAGAGTGGAGTTTTGAATCTTGCCAGGTTCATCTCGACACATAGTGGATGTTCCATGACTTTTGAAAATATTGGTCTGGTTCAAGGTCTATATCTTTGAGGACCAGTTAGGTGTAGCAGTTAGGAGCGTGGACTCTAATCTGTCCATCATCTTCAAGGCCTCCTGGAGGACTGGGGATGTGCCACAAGATTGGAGAAGAGCGAATGTTATGCCAATCTTTAAGAAAGGGAAGAAGGATGACCCGGGAAACTACAGGCCAGTCAGTCTGGGAAGATATTAGAGCAGATTTTAAAGGGACTGATATGTAAGCATCCGAAGGACCACTTAGTGATCCGGGGAAGTCAGCATGATTTTGTCCCCAACAGATCTTGTCAGACCAACCTGGTTTCCTTCTTTGATCGTGAGACAAGCTTACTGGATCATGGGAACTCTGTTGATGTGATTTACCTGGATTTCAGTAAAGCTTTTGATAAGGTTCCCCATGACATTCTGATGGGCAAACTGGAAGACTGTGGGCTGGGCTATAGGACAGTTTAGTGGACAGAGAACTAGTTAGAGGACCGCACACAAAGAGTGGTGGTCAATGGCGTTTCATCAGATTGGAGGGAGGTGTCCAGTGGGGTGCCGCAGGGCTCGGTTTTGGGCCCGGTACTTTTCAATATTTTTATCAATTATCTAGATGAAAGTGTAGAAGGGCTACTCATTAAATTTGCTGATGATACCAAGAAGATAGAGTTAAAATGCAACGACCTGAATACTCTGAAGAAGTGGGCAGTTGTGAACAGGATGTAACAAAGATAAATGCACGGTATTACATCTGGGCCACAAAAATGTCAAGCACAAATACTGGATGGGGGATACTTTTCTGGGGAGTAGTGTATGGGAAAGAGATCTTGGGGGTAAGAGTGGACTGTAAACTAAATATGAGCAGTCAGTGTGACACGGTGGCAAAAAAGGCAAATTCAGTCTTGGGTTGTATTAAAAGGGCCATAGCATCGAAATCACAGGAGGTCATAGCCCCTCTGTATACTGCCTTGGTCAGGCCGCACCTGGAGTCCTGTGTGCAGTTCTGGAGGCCTCGCTTCAAAAAGGACGTGGGCAAAATCGAGAGGGTGCAGAAGAGAGCAACGAGGATGATCTGGGGTCTGGAGAGTGAGCCCTACAAGGAAAGGCTAAGGGCCTTGGGAATGTTTAGTTTGGAGAAGAGGAGATTGAGGGGGGACATGAATGCTCTCTTTAAATATTTGAAAGGCTGTCATTTGGAGGAGGGCTGTTCCAGTTGGCAGCAGAGGATAGGACCCGAAGCAATGGATTTAAATTACATGCAGAAAGGTATCGGTTGGATATTAGGGAAAGCTTTTTCACAGTCAGAGTGGTTCAAAGGTGGAATCAGCTGCCCTGGGTGGTGGTTAGCTCCCCTTCACTGGCAGCTTTCAAGAAGAGGCTGGATGAATATTTGTCAGAGATGCTTTAGGCTGGTCCTGCATTGGGCAGGGGGTTGGACTAGATAGTCTGTATGGCCCATTCCAACTGTATGATTCTAGTCTGGGAGAACCAGGTTTGATTCCCCACTCCTCCACTTGCACCTGGCTGGATGACCTTGGGCAAGCCATAGTTCTGGCACAGCTGTTATTGAAAAAGAGCAGTTTCTGTCAGAGTTCTCTTAGCCCCACCTACCTCACAAGGATGTCTGTTGTGGGGAGAGGAAGGGAAAGGAGATTGTAAGCCGCTCTGAGTCTCCTTCGGGTAGTGAAGGGCAGGGCAAAAATCCAAACTCTTTGTCTTTATTGATACCATTATTTAAAAAGGACTTTTTAAAATTAGATTAATTTAATCAACTTTAATAACAATATTAGTGCCCCTTGAAGAAAAAAAATCTTGGCTACGGGCCTGAGCAGCTGCCACCGTGTTTCTGACTGTGTTGCATTTCCTTCCCTTCCAGGTTATCAAGTACCCCCTTCATGCCATCATGGAGCTGAAGGAGCACCTCATCGACATTGCCTCTAAAGCAGGGGTGCACTGGCTCTCCACAATCGTTCCCACACACCACATCAATGCCCTCATCTTCTTCTTCATCATCAGCAACCTGACGATTGACTTTTTTGCCTTTTTTATCCCGCTAGTCATCTTCTATCTCTCCTTCATTTCCATGGTGATTTGCACCCTGAAAGTCTTTCAAGATAGTAAAGCATGGGAGAACTTCCGCACCCTCACGGATTTGCTGCTTCGTTTTGAGCCAAATCTAGATGTTGAGGAAGCAGAAGTGAACTTTGGCTGGAACCACTTAGAGCCATACCTCCACTTCCTCCTGTCAGTCTTCTTTGTCATTTTCTCCTTCCCTATAGCAAGCAAGGACTGGATACCCTGCTCTGAGTTGGCAGTCATCTCCACTTTCTTCATGGGGATGAGCTACATGAGTTTAGCCACGAGTGTGGAGTCTTACACCCGAAGAGCGCTGCTGACAGAGGTGGCTGCCGGGGCCCTCTCCTTGCTGCAGGTGGTGCCTCTGGATCTGGGCCCACTCAAACTACTGGGGAAAACCTTTTACAGTTTCCCTGTTGGCCACTTCTTCGTGTTCAACGTGAGCATCCCTTGTCTGCTGTTTCTGTATTTGTTTTATCTGTTCTTTAGAATGGCAAAGATGCGGAACTTCAAGGGCACATATTACTACTTGGTTCCGTACATGGTGTGTTTCATGTGGTGTGAACTCTCGGTGGTTATTTTGCAGCACTCAGCTGGCATTGGACTGATCCGTGCTTCTGTGGGTTACTTTTTGTTCCTTTTTGCGCTTCCGATCCTACTGTTAGGCGTTGCTCTGATGTGTCTCTTCCATTTTTTAAAGTGGTTTGTAACACTGGACCTTGTGAAGATTGTCATAACCCTTGTGTTGTGTGCTGTTCCTTTGCTTATCCGGTGGTGGACGAAGACCAGCTTCTCTGTGGCCGAGATGGTGAAGTCCCTAACAAAGAGTTCAATTGTAAAACTCATTCTGGTATGGATTACTGCCATAGTTCTGTTCTGTTGGTTTTATGTCTACCGCTCAGAGGGAATGAAAGTCTATAACTCTACCTTGACATGGAATCAGTATGGGTTTTTGTGTGGTCCACGGGCTTGGAAGGAAACCAACATGGCCCGGACCCAGATGTTATGCAGTCATCTGGAGGGCCACAGAGTGACGTGGACTGGAAGGTTCAAATATGTCCGAATCACTGACATTGACAATAGTGCGGAATCGGCAATAAACATGCTTCCCTTTTTTATTGGAGATTGGCTGAGGTGCTTGTATGGTGAAACCTATCCGGTGTGTGCCCCTGAAAACATCACTGTCGAAGAGGAGGAGCTGTGCCGCCTGAAATATCTGACCAAACACAACTGCCACATGAAACGGTTCGACCGTTACAAATTTGAAATATCTGTGGGCATGCCTCTCAGTAGCATGAATGGAAATAAGATGAAAGAGGAGGAGGATGCAACCAAAGACATTGTGCTGAAGGCAAGCAACGAGTTCAAGAAGGTGCTGTTGAACCTGAGGCAGGGAAGCATCATCGAGTTCAGCACCATCCTGGAAGGCCGTTTGGGCAGCAAGTGGCCAGTCTTTGAACTGAAGGCCATCTCGTGCTTGAACTGCATGGCTGAACTCCTGCCTGCAGGGAGGCATGTGAAAGTCGAGCATGACTGGAGAAGCACTGTTCAGAAAGCACTCAAGTTTGCCTTTGATTTTTTCTTTTACCCATTTTTGTCAGTTGCATATTGAGTTCGAATGGTGCCATTTGCATTGCCAAGACCAAAGATTTGGCTTTAAAAGCTGCTATAATGAGGTTCCAAATGAATGCTAATAATATTGTGTCTTGTACTCACTGCAGTTTAAGTAAGTCACTGACATTATCTGCACATGGAAAGCATGAGTGGTGTTTCCCACTAGTTAATATTAAACGCACTTTATACCGCAGGTGATGCACCTCTCTTCTCCTGTGTATTTCTGCCTGGGTAGCTTAAAGCCAACCTTGTGGGTGACAGCACAGCTTAGTGTCGATTTATGCTGTGGTTGTTAGGAAATATCAGCCATGTCATGTGGTTGAACATGGCTACATGTGACCTATGTCATCAGAACTCACCTGAGTTAAACCACAAGTCTGAGGAGAACAGGTTTCCATACAGTCACCAGTCATTGTAAGTATCCTTCATACAAAAAGGAAATTGATTTTGTTAGGAAAGGTGGGTAAGGGAAGGCAATGCATAGGAATTCTGACTGGGCGATGGAAGACTGTTGGTCTGTGCTTGCACATTCAAAGGTGAAATTAAAATTTTAAAATCTGCAGTAAAAAACTTTTTTTGGTCTTGTTTGAATGCTGCGCTCTCTCATGCATTCACCTTTTCTTTCTTTTTTGCCATCAAGGCTGACTTACGGTGACCCCGGTGTGGTTTTCAAGGCAAGAGACGTTCAGAGGAGACTTGCTACTGCCTGCCTCTGTGTCATGCCCCTGATAATCCTTGGAGGTCTCCCCTCCAAACACTGACCAAAGCCAACCCTGCTAAGCTTCTGAGATCTGACAAGATTCGAGTAGCCTCGGCCATCCAGTTCAAGGGCACTAACACAGCTAATCCACGTGGTTTGTGAAAATTTTTAGGAATATTTTGTTACAAACTGGGGACCAACAATATTTGTTGGGGGGGGGATTCCTTGCACCCCACTCCCCAATTTCTCCCTTCTTCACCCCCCTTGCCTCCAGTGGCCACTTTCTCTGCTTTCCCGTCGTTCTGCTGGCCAGAGGTCCAAGCAGCTGGCCAGCAGAGGGATGAGGTTCAAGCAGGCAGTGTGCCCCATGCTTTCTGCGTCAGAGCCTCTTACCACCCACCACACGCCTGCTGATGGGAGTAGGGGTGGATGGCAAAGCCTGGCCCATCCCCAGGCAGCAGCCAAGCAGCGGCTGCAGGAAGCTCTGGAGCTGAAAGCTGGGGCCATGCGCTTGCTGTTCACCCTCCTCTGCCCTGCCGATCGATGGCTGCATGTGCTGCTCTCACTTGTTGTTGTCCTCCTCCTCCTCCTCCTCCTGCTTTCACCCTTCTTCAGTGGTGTTTTTTTAAAAAATCTCTCAGAATGCTGACCCTGATCTTGGCTAGCATTTTTTCACTGGAGTTGCATTGTTAGCATTGGACAGCTTGTTTCTCTGTTTAGGATGGCTTAGGAAGTCTTTTAAAAACTTCTGATTTTTGAAAACTCCACTGACTGGGGTCGTGGCTGGTGTGGGTTGCCACGGAATATGTGTCAGACTCCCACAGCATCAACAAAGTACACACTTGCAGAAAGGTTTTACTTAATTTGAAGCTATAGGTGCATTAACAGGATCACTGTTCGGAATGAGGGGGAAGCAGTGAGCATAATGGGATATAGTACATTCAAACAGCAGAGGCCCAATTGCGGGACTTCCCCCGCGCGCCTTTGGCCTGGGGGCAAATGCTTCTAGATAACATAACATCTCTGCTTCTCACGGTTCTCACCATGAGATCACCCAAGCAACTATCCGGCAGCAACCACCTGTGGCCTTGAGGGATATGGACGTTCCTGCAGCTGGCAATTAAGCGCATCAACGGGTATACATGGGAAAGTGAAAGCACACAAGCGCATACATAGAATAGCAAGGGGAAAAAAACCCTTTGGCAGCTTGCTGACAACATGCAGGGCTAACCCTTGAAGCAAACTTGGAGAGGGTCTCGGTTCCATAGGTGGTCAAACAAAGAGATACTCCTCCGCAGTGATCTTCATTTATTAAGCCTTTGCCTCAGTCTAGATTTTAAAAAATTATTTTGATTGAAATTTTTAAAACAAAGATTAAAAGTCCAAAAAGAATAAGAAAACAAAAAGAAAAGGGGGGGGGGAGAGAAAGAGAAAGAAAAGGAAGAAATTGAAGAAACGTACTACTAAAACTTCCAAGATATCTCAACAACAAAGACAATTACCTACTCTAAAATTATAACCAAATTACAACGGAATTACCTTAACAAATCTCTCTTTTCTATCTGAAATTCTCATTCATCATCAAATCTGCCATTATCATATATACAAACAAAGTTCCGTGACTATTTTTGAGCTGTCTGTCCATCCATCCCAAAAGAAAGGTTTCTGGTTTCATTTGTCTGCTAGATTTTAAAATCTTCTGCATTAGTAAATGTATTTGTATCAAAAAAAAAAATTGGCTTTATGGCAAGTCCACCACATATGATAAAATGTCCCTTCATGTTACATTTCCAACACTTCCTCAAAGTATTTTTATACATTTAAATCAGTTTATCGGAGGACGTGTACCAACAATACGTCATTTTATAGAACTTTTAAGATTAAAACTTAATGTAGATTTCAAACCCTGCAGCCACATTCTTTCCCGTTGTTCATGTGTATATTATATCCAACATTCTTAGCCCATTTTGTCATACATTCTTTCACCTGTTCTTCTGTTTTGTATTTCCAAGACTATATATATTTTAGCAGTAACATGATCATCATTTGCCTCACTCCAGATTTACACCTCCCTGCCCCTGGGTAGTTATTGGCACTCCCCGGCTTCCCTGGAATTCCACAGCTGGTGCCCCTCCCCGGATTCTGACCGCCCCCCAGCTTTGTTTCAACACCACTTTAAGAGCCCAGCCCAGTGACTGGGAGGAAAACCCCCATCAGGTTGCCTGTCCTCTGGGTTTCATGCCCCAATTGCTTTTCAGCCCTACTGGCACTCCTTCATCTCCAGCAAGAACAACTACCGACAGCTGCCCTTGGCCTGCTCTATGTGTCCTTGGCCCCACACCCCCTTCCCACAGGTCTGACCCCTGGCTGGTCATCCCAGTGCAGCCCATCAGGAACTTGGCCAGAGCCAGCCGCCTCCTCTGCTGAGGCACTTTTTGTTCCTACTGAGTGTACCCCCACCCCCACCCCCGGTTGGGTCTCCTTTTTTGCAAACAAAACACTACAAACAGATGCAAGAAAAATATGGATTTCACACGGCCCCCCTCCCATTTCAGGCTATCGAACTATCTTTTAAAAAACGAATGCTTCTGCTTTCGCTCGGACTACTTGATTCATTCGCTCTTGAAGTGCTTTTTCAAAAATAGTGTATGCAGAGAAGGGGGGATCATTCACCCGTGCCTTTGCAAGGATACACAGTGCTCTGTTCAGTTATGAAAGCAACCAGGCACAGCTCAGCAGCCCCTCTGTCATGCCACTCTCCTCCCTGAAGAAGTGGCCCCCGGGGGCTGCAGGGGGGGGGACATTATAAGTGAATATGGAAGGAAAACATGACGTGAAGCTTGGCCCTTTATGGGAATGGAAAACAGGAGTATGGTTTTGCTATCCAAAAACAGGAGGATGCCTGCAATGTGTGACCCACCAAACTCAGGATGCAAACTCCTTGTTTAAAACTCTTCAGATTTACACCTCCCTGCCCTTGGGTAGTTTTTGGCACTCCCCAACTTCTGTGTGAGAAGTCCGGCTGTCCTCGACCAGGGCCAGGGCTTTATTCAGCCCTGAAAACAACTGTGCTTTCCCTGGCATGCCCTGCGGAATGGTAAGAACCCCCACAGGGCATGGATGTCTTCCGGCAGTGTTCCACCAGGCAGTGTTCCACCCTCTTTTCTCCCTGTTCCATGAGGGGAAACGGGATTCGAAAGGCTGAGTGGAAGAGTGAAGTGAGGAAATATCAAAACTCAAGCATCAGGCGGCTTAGCCGTCAGCAACCGAAGGACAGAGAGGCGCAGTTGGGTTTGGGAGAGGAAAAGGGCAGGAGGTATCCTGGACCAGGTGGGGAATCTGGTAGAGACAGCAGTGGCTGATTTTGACAGGCAAAGTTTGGGTGCTATTCCCAGCTAAACTTGCTCAAGCTGTCTAGTTATTGTTCTTGAAGGCAGCCCGGTCAAAAAGACTAACTTTTAAGTATCCCGGCTCTGGCCTCCCACTCCATCGGCTCCTCTTGACCAACAGAAGGGGCAACAGAGTTCCTCAGATGGTTGAGAGAATGGAATAAGGAATGGTGGGGATGGGTGGAGGGAGGGGAATTGGGGACCTTAAAGATGGTTAAAGGGAACGAAAACAGGTACAGGGGGCGTGGTGGAGGGTAAGGATTTGGGGGCTGTGGTGCTTGTGGAAGGAGGAGGAGAATTTGCCACTCCCTCATATATCAACGTTCTGTGCGCCTTGGTGTTTAGTCATGCTAGCCACATGACCACGGAAACGTCTTCGGACAGCGCTGGCTCTTCAGCTTTGAAACGGAGATGAGCACCGCAACCCTAGAGTCGGATTCGACTGGCTTTCGAGCAAGGGAACCTTTACCTTTACTTTACATATATCAGGTTCCTAGCCTGATACTCGTGCTTCGCTACAGTATTTAAGTTCCATAAATCCAGTTATAATACTGATGATGTGAAGTCTGAAATGTAACGTTTGTTGTAGGAATTCTAATGGAGAAGACTGCAATGTAAAAAATGAAGTGAAACACAGGTACTGTTTTTTTTCCTCAATTGAAGGATGATCTCTCTGTAGACCACACGGTTTTGCTCATATGGAGACTGTGTTGTTCTGAGCACCTCAGGGTGATCTTGCTGGTACCTTTGGCCAGCGCAGCTCAGTGCACCTCAGAGGTACTCTGTGCAAATGTCTTTGGCACATTCCTAAGTTGCCTCCTCCTTGTAGCGTTGGTGTATCCGGCTCAACATTTGCCAGGAGCTTTCTTGGGGCAGTAAGAGGTGAGAGATATGAGGGGAAGTTGGTTTGAAGGAGTGGTGATGTGGTGGACATTTCTTCATGTTCATGAGGGAGGAATGCATCAAAAAAGCTCCTAGAAAGGACCTTTGCTGTCTCCCCATGAACATTCATGAACTCAATTGCTGTGCTGGCTGTTTTGAAAAATGTCTGTTCAGGAGTCTTGAATCGCTGATTTCTGTAAATGTCCTCAACTGTCTGTAGTCTCTTCTAACTGTGTTTTCACCTCAGAACATTGAGATCCACAGCTGAGCAATCAGAGGGAGGTGGGTGCAAATGGCAGGTCCTACCTCAGAACTCTGTGCTACAAATATGTGGAAATCTGTTAAATATATGAAAGCGGTAGCTTACAAAGAAAATGTATATAAGATGTTCCATAGATGGCATTGGGCACCCGATAAGCTCGCCAAATGCTATAAGGGGTACTCTGATAAGTGTTGGAAATGTAAAGTCTGTAAAGGAACGTTTGTGGTGGGAATGTAATATGACACAAAGATTCTGGAGAATAGTTAGGGAAATCCTCCAAGAAAGTCTGGGCAAAAATGTGGCACTAAAACCAGAAATATACCC